CTACTCCCCCTATGAACCCAACTATGACAAGAACACAGGACCGAATGCTACCTACTGCAACAAGACCCTCTACCTGATCGCCTTCTGGACTCTCAACTTTGACTATGTCCTGATAGTTTTGTTAGGATGATGGATTTAATAACAGTTAAGGGTAAAAACATTCAGTAGTTTTATGTATATACATTATGAAAACACTGGAAATGAAATGTTAAAATCACCTTAAGCACCAGGATCATATGCTTTACTGATTATCTTATAGTCATTAAATACTCAATACTATGTTTACTCTTTTAAAATGTAATTTTCACAACAGTGTTCTGTTGAACTAAATCATGTTTGCATTTCACTAATAATATTTTACTCTTTAATTTAAAGTTACGTGCATGTGTTCAGAGGTAGGGCTGTCAATCTGACTGATGGGCTGTAAAAAAGATAATAGCTCAGTTTTAAAAACAGCAAATCGTGACTTTTCTTGTATTAAATTCCTACTTTTACACTGTTCAGTCCATGTTATAGCATCACAATTTTCTCAAGTTGTTGTTTTACTTTCGTTTCTGTGTTTGTGATGCTGCTCCTGTTAAGTTGGTCACCTGGTGTTTGCAGTCAGACTTGTTTTAGTTAACTCAAACAGTAGTTCACACTACGCTCAGTCATGAACAAATGAAAGTACTTTAGTGTGTGAGCATACGGTGCCTATAAAAATTATTCACCTCCTTGGATGTTTGACCCTTTTATTGATTTTATGACTCAATCATGGTCAATATAATTTGGCTTTTTTTGACAAAAAAAATGACAAAAAAACCTCTTTAATGTCAAAGTGAAAACAGGTTTCTACAAAGTAAAGTCAATTAAATAAAATATGTAATAGGAAATAAATGGGGGGGTGTAAAACAGGGAAATGTATTTTTCCAAAGTAGACAGGTCTTGTCGGTATTTTCATGATATATAAAACCATATATAGGGAACTCATAGTGAGTTATGACAAATGACAGTAAATATTTAAATAGCTTTGAAATGGTTAGTTTTATACTAGAAACTAGGCACGTCAACTTACAGAAATAATAATAATAAGAAATCCTTCAGCCACTGCCAAGTTACCTGCTTGTGTCAGCCAACAAGGATCCCTGCAGCATCATCACCATAGAAAATAACAAGTGGGAGATATTACTACTGTTTATTATAAGCATCTTTTAAAACAGAAATGTCATATATAATACAATTTACATACAAAACCTTAATGTCTGTGTAAAATGTAATTACTTCTCAGAGCTTATAATATTTTCACTCTTTATATCAAGTTAAATTTTTAGATGGTCAAAGCTATCAATCCGATTGGTTGATCGGGCTGTGATGTCAGCATGGTTTGCGAGAAAGGCTCTCCAGTGCTTTTGTGTGGATGGGCTTATAGAGGAGAGTGAAGCTGGAGGGGCTGAGGTGGCCGTTGCCTTGTGTATCGACCTTTCCCATCAGCACATAGTTCAGGCCTGGAGAAGACACAGAGTGAGAAACGATATGTAGCAGCTAATGCTCAGCTACAATGCAACATACCCAGAGGAACTCTATGGCTTGTATTGTTGTCCTAAAATTGTTTCAAAAGTAAGGGAACAATTCAGTTCATGATGTTAAAATGATATTTTCTCTTTTTCATAATGTGACTATGGAGCATTGTTTGTACCTTTGGTTAGTCCGGGACACCTCCTGCAGGTGGAGGTCAACGTGACCGATGTAGAAGGCCCTGCTTTGGTGATGTTAAGGCGTCCTGTCTTATAGGCCTTCATCAGGAAGACCTCGATTGTTGCTGAGCCTCCTGGACCACTGGTCAGAGATGTAACCTTACCAGTAATGACTGAGAGAAAAAAACGGGATTCATGATTACTGAGGCAAAATATTGTGTTTGGGAATTTTCTATTTCTTTAAAAAATTAGAAGCCACTCATGATCAAACTTCACTGATCTTTGACCATTTCTAAAGAATTACATCTAAATATTTCCACGAAGTTTAAGTTCTTGAGACACATAGAGTCCGTTTATCAAATTCAACCCACCCTGAGACAATCAAAACCAAATCACAACATGCTGAACAAAGTGGTGAAATAAGTGACATTTTGGGAACGTTCGATGTGAAAACTGATGGAGAGGAGGTGTTGTGGTGACTCACCAAAGTCATGAGGGCAGAAACTGGACTGCAGAGTTCCTGTCCTCTGACAGGCTTGTGTACACAGAGGGTTCAGTGGCACAGCTGAAGGAAACGCACGCAGCAACAAGCACACAGGTGAGTAAGCACATCGCCATGCATCCTAAAACAGGTGTGCACATATACTTGGAAGTGGATTTTAAATTTAATTAATGCCACTCACGTTTCTTGCTCATGACAGGTTTCTTTGTCACTGTCGTGCCTGGTTTAGGCGCCACTTTAGGCTTCACTGGGGCTGATTTTGCTGGTTTGACACCAGGCTTTAAGGTGGGCTTGGTCTTCAGCGCAGGTTTACGTGTGGGCTTACTCTTGCTGCTAGGTTTGAGTGCTGGCTTTATAACCTTAGGTTTTGGTGAAGGCTTAGCTCTGGGTTTAGGTGTGGGCTTAGCCGGTTTGGGTTTAGCTGTGGGCTTGAGCACAGACTTAGCAGTAGGCTTGCGCAGTGGAGGTTTCTTCACAACTGGCTTTTTGGTGGGTTTAGGCTGGAAGCTGGGTCTAAGTTTGGTGGGTTTGCTTGGCTTCACAGCAGGTTTCTGTGGTGTGGAGGTCGGCTGAGGTCGGTAGATAAAGTCACCTCCGGCGGTGGGTGTCCGGGACCCACGGGACACGCTGGAGTAGTAGGCCATGAAGCCATCTGAGGTCACGCTGAGGTCAGAGATAAACTGGACAAGGAGCTCGTTCCCATTGGTCACGATAGTTCTATGTAAAGAATGGAGAAAGGAGAGAAACTTTGGCAAAGCTCGAATGTGTCATGTCTTTGAAAAGCACCTATTTTGCCTCTTTTCCAACCCATTTCTGATCAGTAGTCTCACCCTGGCGATTTATCGCCGCAGAATTTCCCAATCCTCCTTGAGTCATCCTTCTCTCCCCCGTTAAATAACGCCACGTAGTCATAGCGACAGTATGTGTCAGCCTCCAAATCCAGCTTCTGAAACTTCACCTCAATCACCTGGAAAAGAGGTTGCAATGCAAACTATAAATTTATGACAGGGAATGAAGGAAGTGAGCTGCTGCTTGTTTGTGAACTAATTTTCATGACTGCGTTACAGTGCAGACATAGAGCAGGAAAAGGGCCAGGCTTCAGAAATACAGAAGAACATTTACTCCCTCTCTTCCTTCCCTCATTCCCCATATTCAATCTCTTGGCACACATGGACGTACCTGCAATTACTCAATGAAGTCTTTCATTTGAACTCTGTCACAAGTCTGCTCACACACACTTTCCCGGTGATGGGCCCCTTAACTCCAACTTAACCTCCTTTTCCTCCATCATCATCTAGCTTTATTGAACACACCTAGCTGAAATTATTGGTGAGCTAAAATTTGAACTCTCCTCACTTTTGTGTAAAGGAATATAAGCTATATCAAAATCTGCAGCTTTTGTTTTTCAAAATATTTGTATACACACTGTTTGAGCTTCAGAGCTCTGGGTGGGCATTTCTAAAATATGATTGCTTACATTGCTCGGCTCGACTAAGATGTGCCAGGAGCAGCTGATGCCTGCTGGGTAATCAGCGTTCGGCCAGTTGGGCGTCTTGACAGAGCCCTGTGATTTGGTCAGCCGTCCTCCACAGAACTGGTTTTCTGTAGAGGGGAGAGGATGGAGTTAAAAAGAGGAGATAAAACACTAATATATTTTTTTACCTTATTAGGTTTCATAAACCCAAAAGATTGTAGTCATTTGCTTATCCTAGTGAGGGTTGTGTAACATCTCCTGAGCACAAAAATCATGTCATTTATTTGTCCTAAACAAAGATGAGCATGGTGCTTTTCTCTAGAATAAACTGTAAAGCTCAGTAGTTTCCTTCCTTGTCTATGGAACTGCATGTCCACACCTTCCACATGTGGTTTCCCCCCATTAAAGGAAGCCAGAAATCCTCTTCCTCCTGTGGCGTCATCTGACACCATCTCTAACATCATGGTGTTAGAGGTGGAGATAAGGGCGCCGGGCCTGAACGTCCCACAGAAACGACCCAGCTTCTGCACCAAGCGGGAGTGGCCATTGTAGACATCCAGGTAGTCGTAGCGACAGATGGGGTCGGCCTCCAGGTCGAAGAGACGGAAAGACAACATCACCACATGACCTTCTGGGACCTAGAGAAGGTGACAGAAGGGAGGAATGGTCAAATAAGGGAAATGCGCTTTACCACATCTCTGATATGATTGTTTATCATTTGAAAGGAACGACCTCCCAAGACTCTGAGGAGTGGTGAGCATCTTTTCATGGACGAACTTGTCCCTTTATTGGAAATCAGCTGGTAACTGGATGCTTCAGATGGAGAGTTGGAGGAAAAGACATCTTGTCTTTTTAATGTCTTTCCTTCAATTCCTCTCTCCTTGCATCTATTCCTTACATCTTACTTAGTGGGACTAAGACTCAAGGAAAAGATGCAAGTGACAAAAAATGTGAACCCATGCAAGGGACTTGGGATGTTTCCTTGGTTAGAATAATTTTAGGCTGCAAACTGTACAGTCTATGGTTTAAGCTCAGTTTAATGGTGCAGTGATTTGAAATGACTCACAGTGATGTACCAGGTGCATTTACTGTTGGGTTTGTAGTGACTGGGGAAGCCTTCACTGGCCACAATGCCTGATTCTACGACCAGGTGGCCTCCACAGTGGAAGACAGGCCTGAGAAGAGAGAAATACCATCAGGAGCAGTTCAGCTTTTAACTTGTTGCACCGCAGCTTTTCTAGCTACTGAGAGTAGTGAGGCAGAGCTCCTGCACACTCACACACACACACACGTTTACATGCACACTTAAAACCACAGCTGCACAGTCTGTCTCTGTTCTGAGTTCGAGGAGGTTCCCTATAAACTCTCCTGATTTGGGCTTTTTTTTAATAAAACTTGGTCAATCCAAGCCAGGAAGACTGTCAACATACAATATATGAGCTGCGAGCTTTCGCCACAGACTGACTGTACCACAAGAAAGTTGTTAGTAGATGAAACATTTTAATTGAGCACATGGGCACTTTGGAAAGCTGCACAACAGCCTGTTCCAACACGGATGTTGATGACGCACACCCACTCTTTCACACACAGATCAAAGCAGGGCTAGCCTCAACTTTTAGTCTTGCTGCACTTCGAGGCCCAAGACTTGTTAATTGTCAGCTGCTCTGGTTTTCCCTTTAAATCTGTAGCTTCATTTGTATCATCAAAACTTGAATCTGTTGCACAGTTTCTATTGTTTTTGTGCCAATTTTGGGAAAAAAATTCAAATGAAATGTTATCGTTTGCACTGTGAGGACTGTTCCTGTGATCATCAACCATTGTAATTCTTCAGACATGCTATGTGTCTACTACTGTGGTAAGGTAAGCCACGTCTAGGCCAGAAAAATTCCAGTGGTGGTCCCTCCCTTCTGACCCTCTGGAGCTGAACAGCCCACAGGCATTTGTTTGTCTCTCATGTTCAATTTACGCTGTGTGTGTGTATGTGTATGGAAGTCACTCTTTCAGTATGCACACCAGGCTCTGTAAGCGCCTCAAAAATGAACTTTCCAAACTTCTATGGGATGAGATCATGAGGACAAGCTACTGTACATCTGATGGGTCTAATCACTACATCAATAATAGTATGCTGTCATTTTGTGCCTGCCTCTCTGTCTGTGTGTTTATGGGATGCCAACCACATCTTCATAACACTGCCACCTTATATTGCTACTGCGCTGTTCATAATCATAACATTGCAGCCAGAGGAGGAAAAAACACAGTGGTTAATCTTGATAGATGTGTACTTTAAATCTCTGTGCCACATGTGCACATGGAGGACATAGCAAAGGAAACAGATAAACAAAAGGGACAGCCATGTAGTGGACACACATGCCTGAGAATGTAAAATCTCTTATACACACAGAGAGCTTACCTGGTGAGGTTGGTCTCACTCTGAGCCTCGGCCCATCCCATCGTCAAAGTGACAAGAAGGCAAACAGTCCACACCCTGTCCTCCATCCTGCTGTCTATCCAGATTAGGAAAGAAGAGAGAGGAGGAGAGGAAGAGGCAGGAGGGAGAGAGAGGTGTGGTGTAAGGTTTGAAAGGGGAGGGCGGAGAGGGTGGTGTTCTAGGGAGGGGAGGGGAAGAAAGTAGGAGGTGGATGATTTGATACAGAGGACAAAGAGGAAGAGGGGCAAGTACTGTATGATAATTACACTGCACACTGATTCACATCCAGACATAATGTATATACAGTGCAGTGCAGTGAAACTACAGAGTGCTTGTTGCACTCCAGCTCTATAGTGCTGTTTAGTAGGCAAGGTAAAATAATATATGGAAAGCATGTGTTTCTGCAGGTGTGTGTGCTGTAGAGTGCCACTGCTGCCTGAGTGTATAATGACCACTTCACTGACCCGCCATATGGAGGGGATTTTCTTTCTTTATTCTCTTTTCAAAGAAAATGTATCTGAGAGTAAAACCTTCATACTGCAATTACAAATTATATATTTGATGATCTTTCAGGCCACACGGACTGCAAAATACACATTCATAACAACCCCGTTTGGCAGCTTTTAGGAATGAAATATAGGCTTAGACGTTTAAGAAATCCCTGGAATACATGAGTAATAAAGGAGCCTGAAGACCACTGCCTGTTAGCCCTCAGTCTTATATAGCCCCATGGTCTATATGGCTGTTTTTTATTATACAGATATGCATTTGTGTATAAAAAACATTTATATGCTGGCTAATGCCAGCGTGTGTATGTGGTTCAGTAAAGAGAGAGAGAGAGACAGAGCGAGTGTGAGTGTGTTTCATGTGAGGGCGGGCGTAATTGATTGACAGCTTATTAATAGGGTCACGTCATAGGCGCGCCAGAGATCATTTCTGTGAAGAGACGTCGTGTATCTGACAGGAGAAGACCATGGTCTTGACACTTGGTTGCAATGAAGAACGCTGGCCAGGTGAAGGTTTGTCAAACTGGGGTAGGTTTAATGTGTATCTGACTCGTTTATCCGTTTAGAAACTGCTTTCGTTTCAAGTTATTCGGCGTTAACAGGCACCTGCAGCAGCACACGCCTGTTTACTTGGCAGCTAACTGTTGGCGTTAGAGTTGTTAAAGCTAAAATTATGGAGCAAAAATGCAGGAGGACTAAATTATTAAATGTTTTTCATTTACTTAATGTATAAATCCGACAATATGGGTAGCTTCTCTGACATTTGTTATGAAACGTGTTAGGCTACATGTTAGCTAAATTAGAAACGATTCACGGCGCCCAAAAACGTCGTGTTTTAAAAACTGTGAACACTGAAATGTTTTTCTTCCGTTCTATAAAGAAGACAGTGAGACATTTTAGCGTTTAATTGATCGGTATTTGTTCTTCGGTCAGAAAAACTACATTTAAAAACCACCCTGTTTCAAGCTAGCTTTCGTACCTGCTCCTATTAACCGAATGCAGGTCACGTGATTTG